CAATACTGTTCTCCAGCTAGCTAGTGAGATCAATTGATAAGATCATCCGTAAAAGATTTTTTTTTTAGCTACTCGGCTGATTCGAGGCTTCAAGAGCTTCTTCAATGGTGGTTCGTGGCTATTCAACACTGAACTGCTCTACTTTATCAAAAAAAAAACACTGAACTGCTCTCTCTCCCTCGTATGTTCTATTATCTCCTTTTCAAACCTGACTAAAAGCTATATATATTTACAAAGAACATTTTTTTTTATCAATAAATTTTACATTCCAATAGAAAAAAGAAAAAAAAAGAAATCTCATGTTTTATGTAGAATTGCAAAAAAATTAATAACAAATACTGATAATTCATCTAAAATCTTATTAAAACTAACATCATTCGAATCTTCGGATACATACTGTATATTATAAACCAACATGTAAGGTTTTGACGTTAACGAATTTGTATAGTTTTATTCTTAAATTATAATTTATTCTAGTTATTTTGCAATTCACTCAATTTATTTAGAAACAATCATTCTTAACTACACTAAGTATTGGATAATATGTTGCAACTCATCCCAAATATATAATATTATTAGAAACTACACAGACTATTATATAATACATGGTGACATACACCAACTATATGTAAACATGTTAAAAACTACAAATTAGTGATTTTTTATAAATATTTATCAATTTGAAGATCAATTTGTAATTATTTTCATAAATCTTTTTTTATGAAAATCCGAAAAAATAAGCACATAAAAAACTTAACATACCGAAAGAAAATCCATAAAATTTCGAAAATGTAAGGAAAAAAATATAATTTCAATATGTAAAATCCCCAATTTTTTAAAATTACAAAAATTTACTAATCTCTAAAAGGTAATTGAAAATGTAATGTATATATTTTAAAATTACAAAATTATATATTTTGAAACCATTGAATTTGTTAGACAAAAATACACAGAATTTTTTAAAATTTTGGTCAACAAATATATTTTAAATCATATTAAATAAATTTCAATAATTTAGAATAAAATACATAAACAACATATATATTACACTTATTCTTCGGAGAATAATTTATAGTTGTGCTTTATGTACTATCCC